GGCGCCTTGAAGCAGGAACAAGCCCTCAACTGGACCCCGAGTTGCACCCAAAGTCCTCCAAGTAAAGTGCCAATGGCACCTTTCACCACTACTCTCTTCTTCAACAACCAGGCCCGGTGAACGAAACCAAACCAAATTTTCTTTCGGGTAGAAACCAAACACCGGCACTCAAAAAGTTGATCAAATTGAGAAGGTCTATTTGTAAGAAGACTTAGCAGGTCTTACAGTCAGGGCTGCAAAAAGCACAAGCCCTTCGGCTTCGAAGCCACTGTCGCAGACTGTCATCATATTTGCGGTAACATATTGGGTTCAGGGTTTAGGGATACCCCAAACCCCTACTCTGATTTCTCACGCCCCCTAGATTCTGACGGTGGTGCCAAAGCGTCTCCCTCGGCCTCCGTGACGCGCCGCAAACGTTGAAGTTTTTCACCTCTAGGCGGAAGAACTCAGGAATCCCGAAGCGAGCTTGCAGTCAGGGTTTGAGGCTCGTTTGAGGCAGGGGACGGTGGTACTTCAGTCAGAATATCGGGGGGGGGGGGGGCCACAATAATTAGAATGAGTTTTGGCGCGGCTTCATTCATCGTTACAAAGGGGGCTTAGGGTATACTTTCTCATAAAGCTTAGGACTCAAGGTGCCTCAACGTTTCTTCTGCAAAAGCTCCAGTTCCCTGCGGAAGAAGGAAAGCGGGATGTCAAGTTGTGGTGGCGACCTACCGAGCTACCCTCGACAAGATGCACCTGCCTTCTAAGACCTACAAACAGGGGACCTCAAAGCCCAAAAGCTATGAAAAGCGTTGGCGACCGCTTCGTTTCTGAAATCAGAAGAGGGCACAGAGCGGAGCAAAGATGGCCGCGTTGAACCGGGCCTTCAAGCCCTCCCACTTCTCTAAGTCCACCACTGTGCCTGAGAGTGGCTCTTCCAGGGAAGATAGGACATGAACCCAGCCCTCAGCCGTAGCTCCGAAGTCATGTCCAAAGGAATCTCCAGGCTGGCGCAGCGCATGATCGGCGATCATCCTGGCAGTGCTGACATCCATCTGGTTCGACATGGCGAGCGCCCAGGCGACATTCCCGATGTCGAGCGGCTTTAGGGTGCCAAACTGCTCCCGGACAGCCCGAGCCAAAGATTGGAACAAGGCTTCATCCGGCCACTGGAGCATCGCAAAAGCCCAGAGGACACATCCCAAATCCTGCGCGCACATGCGCTTCAGCCGGTTCTTCGGCCCGAAAAGCATGTCCTGCGCAGCTTCCCCAAGAAGATTTGCATCCCGCCACCACACCTCAGTCGCTAAAGGCTGCCTTTCGGAGACTTGACATAAGTATTCTATGCTTGCTGGCCTAGGAACAAAGCCGCTATTCTGTAAAAGCTTTTGCGGCGAACTGTACATGCAATCAACGACACCTTCGCAAAGGACCACAGAAGCTGCGAGAGGTCGAAGTTGTCGAACTCTGCGATTCTGCCCTTTGCGTGCTCTGCAACAGCGGCAAACAAATCCTCGTGGTACCTTGCTTGCAGCCCAAGGCAGTTTCATCCCGACGCATGAATCATTCTGCTTCTCGTCGGTGCGCATGTGCATAGCTACGGTACAGTAGACAAAGCTTCAGACTCAACCTACGTAGGGACCACCAGGCTCAACATATTAAGGGGAAGAAACGAAACACTGCCCGGTGCCCTCCGAAGGTACATGGTCTGGTTTGCGAAGGTCCACAACAAGTTGGCAAGCTCCTGCGGAGAACAATACTGCTGCGTCACGCGAGAAGCTCCGAGCCTCCTACATACCTGTGTTGATCTTAGCATGGAGACGTTCGAGCTGGGGGACCGGGTTATCGAGTTGTCCACAGTTACAACAAGACAGATCTTAAAGTTGAACCCGTGTAAACCTTGTTATAGCTTCCGGCAGGTCGTCACCTGACAAGAAACTTCCGGCTCCTGCGTTTTAAAGGTGCCCAGCTTGGGAATCGCTGCCTCCGCTCCTGCATCGAAGAAGCTCCGAAACATGCCGAGCTTGCCATGGATGCGAGAGAACGCCCAGAGTATGTTGGTGATGTGCTGCGACGATACCTGCATGGGAAAGCCCCAGAAGGCTGAAACATTACCAACCATATGCCTGTCCTGGCCCTCTGATGTGATTAACCTCACTATTCTCATTGCACCTTATGCGTGTCGTCGTCAAAGACTTCAGGATGTCGTGCCACCTCTTGGAAAAGCGCATGGTTCGGAAGCCGCACCTGTGAGAAAGACCACAGGATGTTGCTCAAATTCTGCCCGCCCAACTCCCGGGAAGCCAGAAGCTCCCTCGTCCTCCTGGAGGCCACGAAGAAAAGCCTCCGGTTCACTTGCCTTGTCACGGCGCAACCCCAGAGTAGATTCCCCAAGGATTGGCCATCGAAGTCGGGAATCCTGGGAACGGCGGCCTCGGCCAACGGCCTGAAAAGTGCCGTGAAGTGCTCACCCCGGAGCTTCAGCGCAGGGCAGCGCTGCAGTGTGGCAAAGGACCAGGCGGTGATGGCTACGTGCCGAGGCTGCAGCTCACCTCAAGGGAAGGAAAGAGCCACCGGGGATCTTGAAAGCTAGATATCTGCTGGCGTGCTGCTACAGCTGTTTTCCTTCAGACACCACCTAAACCCGATAGGCTGCTCGGGCTGTTGGCATACCGAAAGATGTCTGCCAGACGATGGCTGAGGAGGACAAGGACATCCACCGTAGCGCTGGCCAGCTCTGCGCCGACCCCATTGCCGGCAGACCAGCCGCGGGCCAGCCGGTGTAATGCAGTCGTGGCACTGACGACGCCCATTTCCGGCTCCTCCTGCAGCGACTTCTGGACCATGCGGATGAAGTCTGCCAGGTCGCCTGGGCTCGACTTGTCTCTGCTGCAAAGACGCGTTGTAGGGCTACTCGCCTACTTTCAGTCGGGACACCTTGCTCATAGGCCTGCACGAAAGCCAAGTGAGGCGCCGAGCGCGGCGGCAGGCGAGCTGCTGGCTTGAAGGTGCCATACAAGCTGCCATGCCCGTCCACCATCAATCCAACGCAGAGCTGTCTCTTGTGACCATCACAAGCATCAGAAACTACAGCACATGATAGGGCCCGACCTTTTGTGCATGTTGTCTTGTCTTCACGACGACAAGGCTTATGGAACCAGGCTCTTGCATGCTGTGAGCAGGGTTTGACAAGCCTGTGAACTAGCACCACATGCGAGCCTGTTCCCCAGATCGAGCCGTTCGTCATCTTGTGCACACCTGACCCCACCCCAGCCTTCGGGACTTCTATCCTTCGGATGACCGAACCTCGTAGGCGTGATCCACCCCTGAACTGCCTGGCTCACTTAAAGAGACGAGCAGATCCAAAAATCCCAGGCAGAACCCGACATCAAAATGCTGGTCCAAACCATCATCTGCAGGAAACCGTGGACACCGGCTTCCCGAAAAGGAAATAGTTCCGCCTTGGGCCTGCAAGGAGGGAAGGGGGGGGTGGGAGGGGGGCCTTCATATCACCTACTTGTACAGTATCCCAGGGAAACTAAAGCGTAACGTTTTTAAGCTTGGGGTTTAGGAACCCTTTTTGAACCCAGACTCTGCTGATCAGCTGGGAAATGCTGGGAAGCAGCACTGAAACCCTAAACCCTAAAGCGTCTTAACCTTTGGGGAGATTAGACGGGGACGAACTTTAAACATGCGAAAAAATGCTAAGTTTCGTCGGGCCCGAGCCGCCAAGTCTGTTTACACTGGTGAACCTCTGGTTTTAGACATGCGGACACTCTTGGACCGAACTTTTTTGCTACCTCCGTGGCCTTGGCGGTCCGGCCGCTTTGGCAGAAACTTCGCCGGCGACCCAACACATTAAAGGTTTCCTACTCTACTGCTGAGATCATGAAGCGCTATCGACCGACGGCTTCGCTTGAGGCTTGGAAATGATTTCAGATCATCCCCGGCGAGCCTTGCAAGCGCGGTGCCGGGACCGGTGGCACGAAGACATCGTCCTGCAATGACGGGGCAAGAAACGGCTGAATGACTGCCACAGAGAACGACAAGAGGTACGTAATATCAGCTACATACAAGCAGAGGTACTACGGTGTATGTGTGTATGTATATACACATGTCCGTCCGTCACCATGTACATATTTACCGGTGTATTTTCCTACAGACGTATGTATGCATGCATGCACACATGTATGCACGTACGTGGGTATTTATGTATGTATGTCATACTATGTATGTATGTGTCTATGTATGTATGTATGTATGTACGTACGTACGTATGTATGTAGGTATGTATGTACGTATGTACGTATGTATGCATTCGTGCATGTGTGCCTGTATGCATCAGGAGGCACTGGTTTGTGTATGCGAGCATACATAAGGCACTTTTAGCCCGTTAGCCTTCAGAAGCCCCTAAAACCCTAAACCCGAAGAACATTGAAACCTCACCGGAAAGAGTCCCAAAAAGTGGCCTCCACGAAGCTGGGGAGATCTTGTGTTCGATCACGGAGCCAGTCACCTTGCTGAAGGATTTAGGGGCTAAACTTGAGGGCGTATGCTGGGCGTATGTATCGCATGTGGCGTTGAAGGGGGCTTTAGTGGATGAGTCGACGAGAGATTTCAGATTCAGGTTATGATAGGGTTTTGCGGAATCTCCTGCAGCACACGTGTTGATGGAGTCTGCTAGGCCGAGATGCTTTTCTTTACAGGTGCGGCCAGTGATGTCACGGGCAGGCCAAACAGCGTAACGGACTCAGCAGGAGGCTCGGGGCCACAATGGCAATCAATCAGCAAATGAGGCATCAAAGCAACCACAATTAGGGGTTGTTCTTAGCAGATACAGTCGAGACACTACTGAGCACGATGCTGCTATGCCACCCGATTCTCATGAGAGGGCCCAATTATTCTGCAGCAGCACTCTGGCAGTGCAATGACATCAGTCTCAAACCTCTCGCTGAAATGCAGCAACTTAAGTTCAGGTCGAGACAGTCACAAGCACACTTGAAGACTTCGATCCCGACCTACGAATGATCGAAGCCCTGGCTGTCCGCCCGGTCACCGACCACAGGCATGTTCAACAGCTCGCTCGAATCCAGCACCGTCCCGGCAAAGAACCTTCGGAGGCCACAGAGTGGGACTTTCATCCACGGAATGTCGAAAACTCGAAAGCTCAGGATCTGGAAGCCAAGGATTAAAACAGGGTCAGCATCGTGAGTCGGGGCTCCCTAGCCGGAGCAGGAGTCGGAACTTGCACACTGCACACAAGCTTTTGAAACATCTCTCCGTGGAGTGAAAGATTCTCTCGGGGGGATGCCGTCAAAGTTGGCAGCAGCGCTGGTCCGGAAAAAAACAAGCTGGCGATAGCCGTTTTGCATCCTCCTTCACTACTGTCGCGCCAATTGCTCTTACGACTGCCTCGGTGAGATGCCAAGAAGCTCATCACTTCCAATGCCGCTGAAGGGTATGATCGTAGCGTTCCTGAGGTAGGGATGCACCAGTCTACCGAAGCCTGCTCATGCACACAACGGACGGAACCCCAAACCCTAAACCCTAAACCGAGACTCTTTGAGACATAAGGTCTTTAGGCGAGCGTCGCTTTGGCGGCGATGCGGATGAACTCGGGCTGGGGCGGCCAAAAGAGCTGATACTCTTCTCCCTTTCCTTGCAACTGGTCATGGCTATTTAAGGTTTCAGCACTTACACCCGGACTTGCTATTTAGGGTTTCGGGTTTAGGGCTTAGGGAATCTCAGGTCGCAATGAAAAGGTGAAGGAACGTCTTGCCTCAGTCGTGCCGCGTTCTTACCCGAAGCCCCACTATCGCGACGCGAGCATAAGCTCTCCCAAAAGCAAAGCAACTGAACTCAAGTATCAAGCGAAACGTGGGTTTGCGGAACTCAGCTAGCCGCCCCCACACCCCCACCCCACCGCCCGATCCCCCAAACCCATCGGTAAACCCTCGTCCCTTTTTGCATCCAGGACTCTCGCAACCAGCCGGGAAACCCTCGTCCCTCAACCCCAAAACCCCCTGATCACTCACTTATTTCGCCGCAAACAACCCTAGACTCAAATAGCAACCCTCAACTCTGAACCCTGCACCTGAACCTTACGCCCTAAATCCTCGTCTCAGATTGAGTAGCGCTTGAAGACCTCCCGGGCTCCCCCGGGGAACAGCAAGGCCGCCCCAGCACCTGGTCAGTCGACATTGCCTATCTCCAAGAAGAAGAAATAACATTCAGAATATTATCGTCTTCTGAATCTTAATATGTGCAATGCTCCGAAGCCCAGTTCACGCGCACGCGGCAAGACAGGCAAGTGTTTTGTATTGTAATACCACGAAAAGCACAACATTGTTGTTGATTTGCCTGGGTGTGGAAATCACGCGTTTCCGCGTCGCGTTAAAACTCGATGGCTTCGGCACAGCTGCCAAAAAAGTGTTTTGAAGCCATGAAGATGCCAACACAGTGAGTTTTGATCTGTCTGTTCATAGACTGAGCTCGGTCAGGAAGTGTCAAAAACTCGAGGAATCTGAGCTTTCGACCTTGCTAAAAAAAGAAGAAATCAAGACAATTGCAAAACACAGGACATTTGCAGGAGCATTTCGCATCGTCAAAACCAGGATGCGGAGCATATGTGCACCGGCACACCCGAGCCCTGAAATCCGAAAGCCGTGGGAAAAACCGAGGTGAAAGGCTCCTAGAACATACTTCTCAGTGCACATGTACAGGTCTTCGAAAGGAATAACCAATGTTAAAGTAGTACGTACTCATTGATATAATCCAACAACAGAAAAAGCTGCAGCGATAAAATGAGGATGATAGCAACAGGAAAACGAACAATAATAATCACAATGATCAGAGTCATAATGAGGAGACTATTGCTATTATGATATTATGCGGTATACGTGAGGGCTTATCTCTCCTTGGAGTCTTAGGTTTAAGGTTTGCGCTTCCATGGTCCGCACTCCTTTGATTCTTGGTCTTGCTGCTCTGCCGTTCGTACCTAGACATACATGTCTGTGGCAAGGAGTTACTACTATTCCTAGTCCTAGTCTTTCTGATGTTTGCTTTTGCTAACGCTCTTCGTTTGCAATTTGTGGTTTGCTGATATAATCAAGTCCTACTTTTAGCTCAATGTTCTGTGACGGCATCTTGCGACTCGTCCGGCATCTGTCCTATTGCGGCTTACCACACCTCCGCACTTTCAACCCAGCCTGTTCGGTTGGGCCGCAGCGCACGAAGCAAGTTTCGGGCGCTCGTGGGCATTACCTCCGGGGCGGCTGCTCTCTTTCAATCTATGCCAGATCTTGTGCAAAGAATGTCTGTGCGGACCGTGGGACGTAGTAGTGGCTGACCCACAAGTAAGTAGTGTCTCTGAGACAGGTAAAGCACAGCTTTCGGCCTAGCACGTAGCAAGATTCATGTACTGCCCTTGCATGTGGCTAAGGTGATATTCAGGCTCAATACTCTTTGAACGGTTATGCTGGAATTCTGGCTGCGTATCGGTAGTGCCGTAGTGACTCTACGTTTACCGACGCCTGCCAAAGGCCCAGACAAGTAAGTTTCTCATCTGCGCCACGGAAAAGCCCCGTGCTCCGAACCTTTCGAAATATAGGCACCTTGAACTTCTCGAACAGCTGCCGCGAGCCCGGGAAGGGATAGGGGAGCGGAGCGAGTGGAGAAACTTCCTGGCTGAGGGTACTCGCGGAAATCTGCTCGGCATGTTCGGTTCTCGGCTGTGGGCCTTTAGGTAACGAAGGATTGGGAAAAAGAGGGTCGGATCTAGGTTGAACTTAGTGCTTTGGATTTGGAGTTTGGGGTATGCAATGTTTGCAGCATTCTCAACGTCAAAGATGGGGGCAAGCCAGGTTGGGCTCTCGTGGGCTGGGTCTCAAGAAAGTGTCTTGGGTCTATCGAGGCGGAGAAGTTTGTGTCATCAGGGCCGTCAAGAAGAAGTGACGCCCAGCTAATTCAACAACACTTTTCACACAACACTTTGCCCCCGCCACACATGCCGCACCCCAAGAAGCATGAAAGCCTAGCCCAAAGTGGCATGCGAGCTGCATTCAGCAGAGGCGGGTACACCATAGCGGTGACAAGCCTGGGGGCAAGGGCGGTTCATGGTTCTCCCAAACTTCGACTCTGGAGCTTCCTTTTGCTTTATAAAGCTTAGGGTTCACACTCTCAGGGTTTAGAGTTTAGAGTTTTGAGCCTCCAGGCAATGAGGGTTCGGGTGTTCTTTTTTCCATCCTGGCTCCAAGAGCAGAAGACACCCTAGGCCCCAGCCCTTACAGCTCTAGCCTACAAACGGAGGCATCGTGAACAATGCAACGTGCCATGCCGACACCACTCTCGCTCAGCTTCGGTAGCCGAGCAACCGCCGCTGCTCTCGGAGGAACTCGTCGACAAGGAAGATACCATCTAGGCTGAACCTGAGGTGGCATATGCTTGCCTTGACGAGTCAACCCCATCATGAAACTCGGACATTCAGCAACCCACGAATCCCTAAGAGAACCTGGGCTAGTGTCGGTATCTGGTGCATGTGTCATGGTTTCATGGGCTTACCAGCGAGGCTTCTCGTGCTGGCAGCCGACACCGTAGTTCTGCTCAGCACAATATGGTCACAAAACTGACTCGTGATACCAAGAAGATGTGTAATTACGTAATTGCTTTTGGCGTTTAGGCACGGCTTTCCAAGGCAAGCTCGCCAACAGGACATAAGCAATTGCAGAGTGGACCCTGTCTCCTTCAATGAAACACTGCACAGTCTTTGGTTATTGCACGGGGTTGGTTGCTCTCCTTCGTTTTCCAGCACAGAAGGACGTCACATGCAAGTTAAAATGGCGTCGTGCAAGCTTCCGTCACAAATCACCGTTCACCTGCAGCCAGCACCGAACAGCCGACCATTTAGGGAATCGGCCCCGAACTCACCACCAAAGAGATCACCTCTCGGGCGTCGAAGCTTCAGCTTCCTGCTCCTGGCCCTGCGAGTCGAGGTGCAGCTGGTGATTCCCGACGAAAAGGATCGGGTTTTCTTGCAGGGCCGCTGGCGCCAGTTGCGGGAGCCCTGCGAGACAGTGGGACGGCTGCTTCCAGTTCTTGGAGACCGTTGCCGATGGTAAACTTCATTTTGGGGTGCGGTTTTGTTTCCCGCGCTGGAACGAAGGTTGGGTTGTCATTTATTCAAGGCTCCGTCACAGCTTAGCTTGCAGCTGAAGTCCCCCAGCACGCGTCTCGAACCTAGGCCAGCCTGCAGACCCGCTAGATGTCTCACATGCAGATGAAGACGATCTTGATGGCTTGCAGCATCGCTCAGCCAAACAGAAGACACGCGCACAGGCGAGACTCTTCGGCACATGCTCCCGCAAACGTGCCTCGAACAATCTGGCCCCCAGGGAGCACGGATAGGAACACAGGAGACACCCATGTCCTCGCCTGACACAGCACAAGGCAATCAGCTTGGGGCACATCGCAGGCCAAGCAGGCTTAAAGTCTTTCTACCCCATGGCATCCTTCAGGCTCTGCCGGATTGTCGAAAGCCTCTTTCGCATCCAAGCCTCTGGCGCCAGAGGTAGACCCAAAAAACCTCAAACCGAAGCTGAAGGCCCTGAGCTCGAAACCCTATACCCCTAAGTTACTAAACCCTCTCAACACTCCTCAACTCTGCCTGCATAAGTGAGGCATCCAACCAGCTTTCTGGCACGAGACTCATCTCCTCGGGGGCAGCCTGCAAAAGGACCCCGATTAATCCAGGGAAGAGGAGGGAGTTTAGGCCCTTATCTAGGGTTTAGGGTTTAGGGTTTGGGGTTTTCTTGTTTAGGGTTTAGGGTTTCAGGGTTCAACAGATGCAGGTGAACCATGGCAAGCAATTGCATAGCCCCAAGCTTGAGCATCGGGCTTGGGATTCAGATTTCAGGGTTTGCCAACAGCGCGAAAGACTGCCTCAAATCTCTTGGCTCTTCGTCTTGTTGCCCATAGCTGCCAAAATTCGTATCAAGTTGGCCTGAACCCTGTGGGCGACCGCTTCTCTCAGGGTGTTCCCAGGTTTGGGTGTCGTATTCTTGTCAAGTCAACTTGGTCATTGTCGACTACGATTTGGGAATTTCGGCATCGGGTTGAGGAGTATGTATGAGTTGTGGTTTGAGTAATGCCCGTGTTGCAGCAACCAGCTCAGCACCGAGCACTAGGTGCTATCTGGGACATGTCATGAGGCCGACTCGTCGCACTTTTGTTGCCATGCGACGATGCGACGGCTATGCAAAACTGCATTTTGTGGGTGGCAGGACGGGCTTGGCAATGCCGGGGAGTAGGGACACACAGTCGTGAGGTCTCCACTGTAGTCTTCTATTGCATCAAGCGCCAGGGAGCCCCCAAATTTATGCAAAATGCCTGCTGGAGACAACGGATCAGAAGCCGCATCGTCCAGACTTCTCAATGCTGCCGTCGCCGAGAGACACCCCCGACCCTTTCACGCAGCCCAACAAAAGAGACAGCGGAGCATATCTGCCTCTGTCAAAGATTGGACGATGCCAGCATCTGTCAACAGCGACAGCAGATTCACGCTGGTCACATCATCGAAGCACGCATGCGCCCCACCAGGGATGACCTTACGCTGGGCACCTCGGCTCTTTGGTGCAAGCTTGAAACTAAAATCTAGAAGCAGCGCAGACTGGCTCGACTCAAAGGTCATTCTGGCTTGCAAAAAAATAAGGTCTCTGTGAAGGTCAGGCATCGTCGAGATCATACTGTCTATGGCAACGTGTGTTTATAGTTTATGTTGGGTTATATGACTCTATAGATTGCCCATTGTTATTGTACATCCTGATGAAGTATATACTATTACTATATGTCATACTAGGCAGCCACACGAGCAGCTTCAGATCCTGCAGACAGCATGTACGGATCTCCGGGGGGCTGGCTGACAACTTCTGTTTGGGGCTCGGGGTGAACCGTTGGCGTTGACATGAAATACTAAGCTCTCTGCATTCTGAAAGGGCGCCTGGCATCAACTTGAGCAACCTCTCCGTCTCGGCCATAGATGGCAGCACAGCATCTGAATCGCCAGCCTGGTCCATGGACCCGCAAGTGTAGGGTTTAGGGTTTAGGAGTTTAGGGGTTTAGGGTTTAGGGTTTAGGGGTTTAGGGTTTAGGGGTTTAGGGTTTATAGGGTTCTTCAAGATTCAGATATCGCCGCTCGACGGCGGGTCACAGACTCATGGGTCTCGAATTAAGGCCGCTGGTTCTAGCATCGAAGCACACGGGATACTGGCATCCCCAAACCACGGATTTGGCAACAGAGACTTGCTAGAGCTTTGGTTTGGCTTTGTCCAAGTCCTTCATTTTCTGGCGTGATACCGAAAAGCGTGAAATCAACATGCACCGAAGACAGTGAGAAACAGCAAAACATGTGTGCCGGCAAAGGCTCCACCAGCAGTGTCTGCTGGAGCCACGGAGGTTCTTGCAGCCGGAGCTCCAAACTTAATTCAGCACAACATGTCGGTTGAGGAGCAAGCCCTCCCCTTTGACCTAAAAGCATCAACAAAACCACATCCAGATATGATATCCATATTCAGAAAGCACATAGACCCAGACCACATGGCGCTGAGACAAGACCGGGAGCGAAAACGGGTGCTACTCGTTGACCCAAGACAAGGTGCAGCAGCGGCTCCAGTCTGCGGACGCCTTCACCTTCCATGGGCTTTTGACAAATAATTACTACGCTTGCAAGTCTTGCCAGCCCTGACCTCCGAGTTCGAAGACGGTTCCCTCGAGGCTGACAACGGAGCGGCAAGTGCGCAGATCGAGAAAGGGTGTTAGAAAGCGTGAACGAAAGATGCATAAATGAACAGATGGATTGATGGGTAGATTGATACGTAGGGTAGAAGGATAGGTAGGTTTTGGGTAGGTTTTGGCTTCCGCATGGCATGTCCGAAGGCTCGGCTGGGCAAAGACAGGTAGATATGTGCTTTCCAGGACTCCGTCGAAAACCATCATAGCCGATGCCACGAGGATCGAAGGACCCTAAACCCTAAACCCTAAACCAGGGTGGGTTTTGCCCTCCCCTTGCCACCGAGGATCGAAGGTAGGCCGACTCACGGAATTGGAGCGTGTCGGGCGGCAGGGCTCGGCTGAGACCGCCTGAGCGACAGGGGATATCATACTATGAACTGATAAATCTGAAACAACCTCATACATATAATAATTTCAATAGTTTTCATACACAAGGGGATATCATACTATGAACATCTATGAACTGAAATAACCTCATACATAATTTTCATACACACGCGCACACACACACACATATATGGTCCCCCGAAATCAAGACGTGAGTTCCGCAGATCCGCCATGTTCATGGTTGCTGGGAAGTTCTGATGTGCACAGGTTGCGTGCGACCCCCACATCCAACTAGTACTGGGCCATAAATTCCGCGGCGACTGCAAAACAGGGACTCCATGCCAACACTGGGATGCTTTCTCTGCTTAGCGCTGTAAAGGTTACCGTGTGCACAGCCATGCGCACCACCTACATCGCATCCTGAAACTCACCCGCCCCAAACCTCGCACCATCCAGCCCGACACTCCCGGAAGGCAATCATCCACCTATAGGACCTGCGAGAGTTTCAATCGCAGCAGCTGTATCATCCATCGCAGACGATTCATACAGGAAAAGCCGAAGTTGAACATAAACTTCCTTGATCAGCGCTCGACCCTACCCTGCACCCTGACCTGAGCCAGCCAAGGCGCGGCTTATCCGCATCAGCTCTGCCAACGGGCCATCTTCGTCCGGACTGGCCCTTGCAGCCAACACTGTCGGGTTGTGACACCATAATATCACTATATGCATGCAGAACACAGGGTCCGGATTGAACATCAGAGGTAACAGATTCGATCTGGTGGTCGGCCTACAGCATGAAGCCCCACTCACTGACCAACCTGGGGATTTACCTGCCCCCAAAGCCAGAAACCCTAAAACAATCCATAGTCTGAGGGCTTCGGGCGGGGACCGAAGCGCAGCTTTCAGGGCATGCGGATTCGGCTGATGTGAAGAGATCTACCCGGATCTAGCCAGTGTGCCCCCTGATTAAGGCAGATGTCCGTGGATCTTCTTGAACAACTTGGTCATACCAGCCCAGCTTGCCAAAGAGGGGCGTAACTACCTCGGCAAAAAGCAACAGCCTGCACGTCCTTGTGACCGAAGACAAGCACACAGGGAACTTCAAAAGATGAGACAGGAGGGAGCTGAGGACGTGCTACGGGCTGCCACGGGTGTAGCATGGAAGAGCAATCACGCAGCATCGTCATCGCATGCAAGGCACGTGCGGCCTTACAATCGACAAGTAATACACTGCGGAGAGCCGCCTTCATCATCACCAGAAAGGACGTCCTGAAGGATGTAGAGATAAAGAGGCAAGAACAGCGAAGAACAACTGATCAAGACGAGTCGTTGGTCACTGGTCAGGACGATCATGCCGATGTCGACGGCGACAACCACGACCATCACAACAGCCGCCAGCAATACTAAGCCAAGCAGCAGCTCTCAGGATCAGTTTCGGGTACGGTTAGGAAGTGAAAACAAGCCAGTCCATACATGTCTGAGAAGTCCTGAGAAGAGAACAGCAGTCAGCACGCAAGAATCAGGTGTGATCACCGTCGCCATTGTCATGACTTGACTACCCTGGAGTACTTTGATATGCTTCTCACCATCTTGTTCTGGCCTCCTCTGCATTGTCATCTTCGTTCTCCTCGCAGCTCCTTCTTTCAACCTGTCGTCCTCACGAGCACTCCCTGCGAACGCATACTGACAAGCTCTGCGAAGGAAGCCTGGCTCCACAGCATCTTTCGTGACGGAAAACCTTACAATGTCTTGCAAAACTAAGCCCAGACCTAGAAGACCCAACATCATACCCCTCATGGCAGTCGCTAGATAAGAAAGTAAAATGACTCGCGTACGAACCGAAATCCCCAAACCGACGAGCCGCCGCCGGCAGAGAGGAGTACAACTGCTCGGGGAGGCGGGGGAGCGCTGGAGCCACCAAGGACAAGGCACTTCCTCGAGCCCCCAGCAAGTCTTCTCATGCTTTATGGACACGTAGATAGCTAGCTAGCTAGCTAGCTAGCTAGCTAGCTAGCTAGCTAGCTAGCTAGCTAGATAGATAGATAGATAGATAGGTAGAGAGATACATTGATAGATAAATAGAGAGCTAGATAGATAGATAGATAGATAAATAAATAGATAGATAGAGAGAAATAGATTTGTAAATATATATATATACATACAGCTATATATAGTGCCTGTGCGCATAGGTTAAAACACAGCATATCCGCTGCTGCATGTACTGCTCAGCTACGGCAGCTACGGCATTTGTTTCTCGCTTTTCAGGCCTGCGTGCACGGGCCTCGAAATCATTGGAATCATTCTTGCTTCCCAACACAAAACCCCAAACCATAGACCACTAGCCCTAAGCCCCCCCCCCCCCGCCTCAAGGTTCAAAGCTTTTCATCGACCACTGGCTGCTATTCAGCTATTCCTTTCCGAATAGCAGCTGTGCTGCCCCTAGCTGTCCGTGCAGGTCCGATGTCGACCGCTTATGATGTTGTTCTTGCTTGGTGGGGCAGGCTCACCTCGAAGACCACCTTTCGTGGTCTGTGAGCTGAGGGTTCAAAATTGAAGATCTTGTTTGTGACAAGTCTACAAGCCTGGAACGATTTATGTCTGAAGCCAGCTTTTAAACACCAGCCAGAGCCAAAAAGAAGGCGGGGGAGATGGTGTGCAGGCGTCTAACCTGCAGCCTCCACACTGACATGTCCTTCCTTTACAAACAAAACTGAGCATGTCTGTTGGCCGCATGCTTCGAGAGCTCGACAAGGCATGGCAAGTGCTACCGGCTCTGGACAAGGCTGGGTGCTGAGCAAACACATCACACCCAGTATGATGATGTGCTGTACAAACTTCTTGTTTGAAGGTGTGACCGGAACAAGCTGCTTAAGTCAAGGGGCTTCGGTAGCTCGTAGCTGGATTCAGCAGACACATAGCCTGCAGCTTGCTCGGATCATCGTCCGCTCATGGTCGAAACTACGAGGACCGACAAGGGTGCAAAGCAGGTTTCGTGTGCAAAGGAATCTATCCCCCTGTCTACCTACCTACCAATCATCATGTCTCTCGAACCTCTCCATCCATCCATCCATCCGTCCATCCAATGTGTCTCTACATGATTCAACATACTCTACACACAACCAAGACATCCATCACAGGGATTCCAAGACCGAAAACTCGAGCAGAGCAGAGACAGGCAGCAGTGCTTGCAACGAGTACGGGTAGCACCTGGTAGTAAGAGCAGTGCTCCCCTAAATCCGAAGCCCCAAACCCAATCCTCAAAAACCCTTCCAGCTGAAGACCCTGAATCCTGAACCCGGAAAAGCCGAAAACCCTAAAACCTCGCAAGGCCGAGTGGCTTGGGGCAGGCTTGGCCGCTTGACGGCGAGGCTCAGAGCTATCACTGCGCCCAGAGATTCGGCAACTAGAAGAACTGGCCTGGCTCTGGAGCTTCGGCTTTAAGAATAATAGCAATACTAATAACAACAATAACAAAAAATAACAATAATAACAATTATAGTACTCATAAGAATAAGAATCGGTATTAGAATAATGATAAGAATAATAATGATAATGGTAATGATAATGATAATGATAATCGTAATAGCAAGAATAAGAACAACAGCAATGATGCAGATTCTTCTGTTGGCGTTTTTGCATGACCCTGCCAGCTTGTCAACTGAATCACGGGCTTCCTCATCCACCCAATACCGGGTGCTTTGGAATGGTTCGCGGTTGATCGGATGGTTGGCAGTCTTTCCTACGCCTCAAAACCGCGGACATGTAGGAGTTACAGGATTGGCCTTAAGTTGTCGAAAAACCGAGGGATGTAACGAGATCAGTGGTGCGGGGAGGTTACAAATTCTAGCTTGCTTCTATATTTGCTCGGACAGTAGCTGGTAGGCATCTGGTCCATCCAGGCAATCAGTCTAAGAGATAAGGACTCTCATCTGTAAAGCAAAGCTCTCTGACATCCGGTTTAGCATATGCTGCATAAAGCATGCATGCATTTATAAAGCGAGGGATAGCCCTTATGACAGAGCTGCCTGGATGCACGAACATGGGATTGTCGGCATGGTGGCCGGATATACATGCATAACTATAACTAATAATATGTGATGAAGATGTACAGCAACCGCACTGCTTAAGAAATCACTGGTTTAAGA